GGGGGGGGGGGGGGGGAAGAGAAATAAGGGCCAGTGTTTTTTTTTTCTTGTTTACATACATTCTTTTATTCTCATGCGAAGATGCATAACTTTCATGAGGCATGTATGATCGTTGGAGTAGGCATCGGTAGATACGCACTTGGGTAGTTATGTGGGCGGGAAGATGAATATAAACGAACGGTGGTGTGCTGCATTATCCAACCGTTTTTCCCCTGTTTGTTTAGTGTCTCCGCAGCGTCTCGCTTTCTCTCTTTGTTTATTAGTGCGTGACGTCCCGCTGCATTGTTTTTTTCCCCATTATTTTTGTGCATTTTTGGCTTTCCTCTTCCCCCGTATCCCCCACCCTCGTGAGGAAGAAAAAGGGTACTATTTGCGGCAGCGGTAGCGCTGGTAGCAGTAGCAGTATTAGCTGTGGCGGTTGTATCAGTACCAGGCAAAGTGCGGGAACAGGACGAGGAGAACGATATTTTGATAAGGGCCGCTCCAAGGAAGGGGAACGGCAATGGAGAAGGAAAACCGAAAAGGGAAAACGCAGGACGTGGCGCCGCCGCCTGAATTTCGCGTAGATGGAAGCGTCGCAGATGACAGTTCGCGTCGTGATGCCTCGGTGTCACAGGGGGCGAGTGAGGAGCAGCAGGCACAACCGAGCGACGGTGAGCTCCTGCATGAGGTGCTGGCGATGAACACGCTTGCAATGCAGCGATGCAATACGGAGGCATTGGAGTATGCCACCACTATTCTTAGCGATGCGTACATGAAACTGCACAACCACGTGTCCAGCGGCGATGAACGGCTAATGGACACACTGCGCTCCACGACGCTTAACAACCTCGGTGTTGTCGAGTGTCACCGTGGTCAACACCGCCAGGCACTCAGTCACTTTGAGGCAGCGCGACAGTTGGAGGAGAAATGGGGCTCGGCCTCACCATCTGTTGCGCTCAACACCTGTGCTGCATACAACGCACTGGGAATGTACGATAAGGCAACAGCCGCCGCGATAGAGACCATCGACATGCTGCGCACCTTGACGATCCAAGAGGAAAAAGGAAAAACGTCCACACCTCCGGTTGCTGAAGGCGGCAGCTACTCGCTGCAAGGGACCGGAATTGAGGTCGCCAAGTCTGAAAACAAGGCGCTTTGGGGTGCCGCCTGGCACAATCTGGCCGTTGCGCAAATCAACACGGCGAAGTTAACTAAGCATCCCACTGAGCACTGCAATGCTGCAGTCCTCTTTCAAAATGCGATGCGTGCAACGCAGGAGCTTCTTGGCAATGACCACCCCATGACAAAAAGCGTAACCGAGACATATCGCGCTGTGCGGGACGTCCTACGCTCTTACGGTGTCTACAAACAACACCACACGATGCTCACCGTGCCACCGCGACCGGTTGATCCTCGTGATGAGGAGGACGATATGGAGAGATACCTGCAGCAGTGTGTCGGCAAATCAAGACGTCGTGCGAAGGACAAGTTTCACCGTGACCTCACCATCACGTTCTGCGGGGAGGCCACTAATGGAGTGAAGTTGACGGAACGCCTGGACCCCACGCCATACCCCGGTGCCGTAGATGTAACTTTCCGTGACAAGAGTAGAAAAAAGATGCCGCGTGTGTTGCGCGGTATGACGCTGAGCGGAACTCTCCTGAGGGCTGGGCAGCTCTACGGCAACCCGCACCCACTCCTGTATTCACTGCCGCCCAACTACGACCCGATGGATCCGTCAAATCCGAATGATGGCTGCAACTTGGGAAGCAACCCTTACGTGGGGATGACATCCAATTCTCGAGCACCCGCACCTTGGAAGGAGTCCCCTTCCAAACAGCGGAAGAAAAACACCACCGCGAGATCTGCGTTGTCCACTCAATTCCATTCGGATCTCAATTTTCAGAGGATACCGCCTTCATTGGCTCACCAACAATCCACGAACAATTACCACGAAATTCTTTCAGTACAACAGCAGCCCCCATCCAGCTACAACCCGACACAGGAGGCTTACAGGCCGATGCCATCCAGTTCTAAGTCTAAACCTGACGTCTACAACCCGACGCAGGAGGCTTACAGGTCGATGCCATCCAGTTCCAAGTCTAAACCTGACAGCTACAACCAGACTCCATCCAGCCAAAACCCGACACAGGAGGCTTACAGGCCGATGCCATCCAGTTCCAAGTCTAAACCTGACGTCTACAACCCGACACAGGAGGCTTACAGGTCGATGCCATCCAGTTCCAAGTCTAAACCTGACGTCTACAACCCGACACAGGAGGCTTACAGGCCGATGCCATCCAGTTCCAAGTCTAAACCTGACGTCTACAACCCGACACAGGAGGCTTACAGGTCGATGCCATCCAGTTCCAAGCCGAGGCCGGACAGCTACAACCAGGCTCCAGCAGCTTATACGCCGACACCGAACATTCAGCAACAATCACCGTCAACCCACCAGCAGGCACCGTCTAGCTCTCAACCAAAGTCGGCGGGTGGAGGAAGCGGCAAAAAGGCTCGGCGATCGACTCCAGGAAGGATCACCCCACCCAGCAAGGCACGCCCAGAGTCCAGGGAGCTAGCCCGGGGCCAACAGGCATCCCCAAAACTTCCGCCCCTGGGGAAAGCACCGGCGCGAAATGGTCCTGCTTCAGGGTCTTCGGTAAGGGCCCGTGACGACGGTAACAGTCTAAACGCTCAAATTCACGGTGCGTACAAGTTGGGTACGCCAACGGCAGATCCTACGTACGAGCAAGTGAAATACATTTTGTTGGCCGAACCTCAGGAGAACCAGCGGCAGCAACGTGGGGGAGTGGGGAAATACCTGGTTGATGATCCGACAGGACAAATTTCTCTTTTGGGCGATGCTGAACGGCATAAAGCGGGCAGTGGGTGCTTCTCAGAAGCGGATGGCAACAAGAACCACCCACTCTTTGATGCAATGTGGGTGGCAGCCCAGAGGCCCATGGATGCCAGCGAGACCCGGGCAGTTGGGCGGCCCAGCTACTACGTTTCCTCCGTCCTTGACATCTCAAAGGATTCGGTGCGCATGCCAGAGGAGGCTTTGCAGATGATGTTGTCAAGTATTTCTTCTTCCGAAGATGAAACCGCACCCATGCCAGTTCCCAGCATCATGTGAGGTAACGAGCAACGCCACCAATGACGCTTCAACAATAAAAGCCAGGAAAATAAAAGGCACGGTATCGGTGTTGCAACCTTTATTTTTTTTTTGCACAGTCAATGTGTACGGTGCAAAGAACATTTTCCCTCTATGTATAGACTTGTTTTAGTCCCTTCTAGGTGTGTGTATGTGTGTGTGTTTGTGGGGACAAAAGCGGTGGAATGTACGAAAAAGCAAAAAACAAACAACGAAAAAGGAAAACTCAGAGAAAACACGGGGATGACAAAATATATGTGAAGAGTTTAGACGGCTTTGGAGTGTGAGGAAGAGGTGGACCTGGAGAATTCAGAACGAGTCACACATTAGCAACGTTATGATTGCTGAGAATTCTTTTCTTTTTCTGGTTGTGCTTTTTTTTCTCTTGTTGTTTATGTGCGCATTGCTTTTACTCCTTTTGGTCGCCTCGGTTCCGGGTGTCCCTCGCCACCTCCAATTTGTGTTCTCCCCATTTTTGTTTGTGCTTTCCTGTTGACTGTTGTTGACGCGATCTTTATATGGCACATGTATGGTTGCTTCCTTGTGCCTTTTATCCCGTTACAGACGAAACTGAACGGGGGAGAAGAAAAACAAAATAATCCGTGTTTTTTGTCTTCTTTTTTTTTGAGGGCGGAGTTTTTTTTTTTTTTTTAAATTCCTTGTGTTAATTGCGGGGGTGCATGAATGCCTTTCTCCCCTCTTCCGTCCGCCTGGTGGTTCAGCTCTTTTTTTTTTTTTTTTTGGTTGGCGTTTCAATTGCTCAGGCAGAAGAGGGGACACACACACAAAAGAAAAAGAAGAAACGGAGAGAAACAGTTGCCGTGGGCAGTGAATACTCCCACGCCTCGGTGACGTCTGTCTTCATTACACACCCACGCACACGGGGCGGCGGCACAGTTGACAAACACGAAAAAAAAAGGGGGAAAATTCAGAGGGAAACGTTGGGCTGCGCGGATACGCAGGGAAACGTTGAATTTTATCAAATGGCACTTGTTCATTCCCACTACGGCAGCGATGCCATTCACACGCGGCTCAACGAGGATCCACCGTCATCGGAAGAAATTGAGCGCAGGCGTAGGGCGGGATGTCTGCCGCACTCCAACCGGCTTGTCCACCGCCTCGTCGTTTTGCCCGTCACACCACCATCGATCTATGAGGGCGAAACCACACAGTCACCCGTAGAAACGCAAGGAACGCACAATGTACGGCGGGCAAATGAGCGGGACCGGCAGCGACGGGCGCGGTACGCTAGTCTTCTCCGGAGTCATTATGTCCCTCTTGTACCGTTCTCCACCTTCTCCGAGCCCCAGGAAAGATCCTTCAAACTCCTAACCATTTCTAAATATCCAGAAGCGCGTAGACAGCCGCAATGTGCTCAATCCGAAGAGGACTACATGATGTGTGGAGGGTTTTATCCTGGGCCCGACCAGTACGATCATCGTGGGGGGCCCAGGTTGGGCGTCATGCAACAACATACGGTGCAACTAGAGAGGGTGCATTCGCGTCATGTGGCGCCCCCACCGTCTCGTCTTATTAACGCACCGGGCAATGAAGACATTCTCTTTCCCATCTAACGTGCTCAGTCCAGAACTCATGAAGAGTATCTAGAGGATTATCTATTGTCGAACTTACTGTACGATTTGCACACCCCACTAAATCATACTGCACCTCTGGGTGAGGACTGCTTCAATGTCTGCTCATCATGGTAACGCAAATTACTTACACTCTCCGATAAAACCAACCCTCTTCCTTTTGCAAGCAAACGCTAACGAGAATAGGAGAATAGAGACGGGAACTACTATATACATATATGTATCTTCAGGGGCAGCTCATACAAATACAGAAGACAAGAGAAAAACACATTTATTCACTCTGCAAGGGCTACACTTTTGGAACGATGACACTAAGCAATTACAAGAAATGGCAAGGGACATAAATACATACGTGTGAAAGGCCACGGTGAGCTGGAAGGACTCGCCGTGGAAAACCGTTGTTGCTGCTGGGCTTTAACTGAAGCCTCGGACCGTCTGGTGGGAGATGGAACACGCGAAGCGAGCTGCATTGCCTCGTATGTGAAGGTGTTCCACAACATTCTCGAAGAGGCGCGGTTGGTGCAGGAGAAGCGGCTGAATGAGGCCATGGAGTTTCTTGCCTCGCACCAAAAGAAAAAGACTGACGATGTGGGAGCGGTGAACGCTGAGCGTAGGAATCTGGAGAATAAAGTGATGGAAGGCGAGTCCAATGAATTTTGCGAGGCGACCCGCTACATCACGACACTCTTGAAGGAGAAGCGTGAGCTGGCCATGAACATTGGGTTGGTCCATTTACTCGAGAATTGGAATTACTTTGGTTTTACTGCTTTACCTGCTGTTCACGCTGGTGTTGCTTGCTGGGTTGGACGGCACCGTCGAAAACTACGGCATGGATGATTAATTGGCAGTGATCACATTTGCGATTGAGTTCCTCGGGATTGACTCAAGTGTTTTTAACAGCTTTGTGCTTCAGCGCCTCTCGTGCGACATCTGCGTGACGGCGGTCTCCCTGCTGACTGTTACGGCCATTCTGCTGGTGAGTTTTTCTTAGGAAATCGGTGGGCACAGCGACGTTGCCGCTTTCACTGTGATGCTGATTGGCGTCACGTTTGTTGGCATGCCAGCGAACTACGCCAGCAGTGTGTTTTTGGGTGATGAATGATGTAAACTTGTCTCCTTTCTGTTTGCCTTGACGGGTTGCCCCGGTATCTTTGCTTTTGTGCCTTTGTGGTCTCTACTTTTATTTTTATTTTGCATCTTCTTACTTTTCTCTCTTTCACCTTGTACTTGTGCTTAACGTTTGCCTGTGGCTCTGTGTAGTGTATATGTGGGTGTCTCTCATTTTCCCACTGCACTCATTCCCCTTGCGTTCCATTATTTGGTATTGCGACCAGTTGAGTTAGATACCACCGCCTTTGCGTTCAACGCAGCAAAGGCATTGATTACACAGCAGCAAGTGGGTGGGTGGATTATTTTCTGTTTCTTTCTTTTTTTCTTTTTTTCTCTGTGTGTGTGTGTGTGTGTGTCAGACAGAGGGGGAGTGAAGGGGAAGGGCTGTGAAATCTTCTCTGTTGACATCCGCATCCACTTAGACTTGTTGGTCCCACGGCACGATGCTCCGTCGGGTGTTGCCGTTATTTTGCTACAGTGTACCGCAAATTTCTCGCGTCGGCATATTTCCACTGCACTTGGATCCGCCTACAGTTCAGCATCGGGAGATTTTCCGACTGCTGGTTGGTGAAAGAGGCTTTGATCACAAGAATGTCAGCAGCAGCGGCAACCATGCTGTTTATGGGGGTGGTGATGGTCACCGCCATGATAACAACAACAACACCAACAGCCAGCTTGCGGGCTCACTCTGGTGCCTTGAGTCTCTTGCGGAGAGTTTGAAGAGCAGCGAATGCGTGCCATTCGACCACCTCATTTTGGTTCCCAACACACGATTTCCCGTCACCCTGCGTCTCTCCACACACCTTGCTGCCTTGACAACTCTTGTCACGCGTGGTCTTTCTCGAGTGCACGTGGACTTTACCGCGCTTGAGCATCCAGATGAGGACATGCCGTGCGTGTACGAGTTGACACAGAAGTACAGGAACAGCACACTGGTGCACTGGCTGCAGGACGCACATGAGATGCAGAAGTGGGCCCACTTTGGCGATGTGAAGCTACGCGTACCAATGTTGCTACTGCAGACGGTAAGCTTCCCTGTCAGTATGGTGGGTAAGCCGCGCGATCCGCGCTTTATTGGGAAGTATTTTCCTGGTGGCTCTGGGGCGTTGTTGGCGGCAGACAGGGCGTCCACAACAAAGCAACCGTTGGGACAGCCCCGGCAAGAAAAGAAGACGGAAGATGCCGCGTCTGTCCCTATAACTAATGGTGGCAATCATGACGAACACGACGACAAAGGTGTAAGTATTGGCAACCGAGGTGGTAACTTTGTCAATTCGCCTCGTTGGGTAAATGGGGGCTATGGCGAGCAAGAGGTGGAAATTAGTCGATCATACATAAGTTCCTCAACTTCGTCGTGGTTGGCATCTTCGGATAATGTCCCTTTATTGTTGCAGCCATCTGAACAAGCAGAACTTGGTAAAACTGGCAACGGTGAGAATGGCAAGAAGGATGCGGACTACATCTTGAGGAAAGACGCTGATCTTAGCAGCAGCGTGAACGGAGGCCATAGTAATGCCGGGGAAATGAATGGGGAGAGTGAGACGGACATGAGTGAGAGAGGCACGGAGACGCAGCCAAACCACACCGTAGATAACAGTAGTCGGCCGTCGTCAGCGAAGGAGATGAAGGAGAGAGAGGGCAGAGAAGAGGAGATTGATACCATGACCATGCCGTATGATACCATGCCGGTTCGTCGCAAAGTTCGTCACCTCGTCGAGGAGCTCTTTTCTACACATCAGAGCATGGAGGGAGGTCACGGTCGTAGTTCCACCAACGCTCCGCCGCCGCATGTTGAGGTGCACACCGTTCACCGTTGTACCGGGGCAGATGTACGTCAGGCGCTCTGGGAGCGTGAGGTGGATCCAACACTGCTGCTTACAGAACCGGTATATCGCTATATCAATAGTCATGGGCTTTATCACGATTACCGCAAAGACAACTACCCGAAGCTGACACAGGTACAACATATTGGTGCTAGCAGCAATACTAGTAGTAGCAGTAGTATGAGCAGCACGAGTGCGTGGCGAAGAGGCAAAGTGCAGGCAATCGGTCCCGCTGCGGTTTTGTCTTTCCCCGGCCTCATACCAAGGTTGGAGCTGCACTATGACAGGAACAATATCCTTGCCCGCGAATATTACGAGAAACTTAGTGTGTTTGAGGCAAACGCTGATGAGGAACCTGATCTTATTGTGCCTATCGGCGGCGATGGCTACATGATGCATTGCATTCGAAATAACTGGAACCGTTTTATTCCCTTTTTTGGTGTGAACGCCGGGCACGTTGGTTACTTGCTGAATGACCCCTCCACCTTGGGCGAGCTCTTCTTTGCCCCACTCAAGCTGCACACCACAATCATGCTCTACTGCCTCGCCGAAAAGGAGACAGAGACTGGGGAGAAGGTGCTGTTATCCGAGTTGGCCTTCAACGATGCCTGGGTTGAGCGATCCAGTGGCCAAACCGCCCTCATCCGCATCCTCGTGAATGGCGAGGAGCGCATCCATTTGTTGCGTGGCGACGGTGTGTTGGTATCGACGGCGGCTGGCAGCACGGCGTATTGTCAGGCACTCGGCGCATCGCCCGTCCCGGTCGGGGCGCCGTTGATTCAAATCGTGGGCAGCAATGTCGTGTCCCCGGCGCAGTGGCGGCCGACGCATCTGAACCAGGAGGACCATGTGGAGCTGGAGGTGATTGACAGCCTCAAGCGGCCATGCCGTTGCTTCGTGGACTCCGTGGACATGGGGAATGTCACACGCATGCTGGTACGCTCCAGCCGAGCCGCAGGGGTTGTGATCGCCTTTACGAGTAGCTGCGATCTCCAGCAGAAGCTATATCAAATGCAGTTTCCAAATAACATGTGAAGACGCATAAACCGACCGCTTTCCAACGAAGAGAAGAAAAAAAAAAAAGGGCAAAATGGCCGGAAGTGAAAAGGAAAAACAAAAAAAGTATGAAGAGTAGGAGGAGATGTCTCCTGCATGCCGTTCAATTGTGCGCTGTTGGCATTATGAATTATCATTGCTGTTATATATGCTTTTTTATGTGCATGTGTGTGTACTTGGGTCTGTCATCATGCTCCTTTCCTCCTAATCCTCCTCCTCTCTTGTTGTTTTCTCAATGTGTTTTTTTTTTTTTTTTTTGCGTCCGTCGTGAGGATGGGGTTGAGTGCGGGCAGAAACGGCTGCTGAGTGAAGCCGAAGAAAAGAAAAGAAAAAAGAGGGTGAATGGAGGGAAAAAATAATGATGACAACTTCAAAAATGAAAACGAAGAGAGAGAGGAATAGACAGTGGGGGAGATATGCCATAAGAAAAAGTTCAAATGCTTCTACATGTATTTACCCGCATTTATGCGTGAGTCCCGGGAGAGTGGGGGGCGTACGCAGACCTTCATTCATCCTTCCCCCAATCCCTTCCTTCCCCTGCACAAATTAAAGACCCCATCCCCCTTTTCAAGGGAGTAGCAAAGAAGAAAAAAGAAAAAAAGAAAGGAGAACACAACAGAGGGCGAGGGTGAGATGTGGAGTCATTCCAACGGACGAAAGCTGCAAGAAAACGGCGAAGCTTTTAGCTGATTGGCATTCACAAACCTTTTTTTTTTTTTTTTTTTGGTTTGGACCACACACACACAACAGACGTATTCTCCTCCGTGTTGTTGGGCGGTGAGAGAAAGAGAGAGAGGGAGGGAGGGAGGGAGGATGCGTTTATATATCCATTTTTTTTTTTTTTTTTGCACGTATACCTCATTTATTTATTTGTTGACTTGCGAGTCTACTCGTAGCTTTGGGGGAAAAGAAAAGGAAGGGTGAAGAGCCGGTGACAACACCAACAAACAGACAGACAGACAGAGACGGGGTGAGGGGCTAGGCACAGGTGTAGACAGATAGATAAAGAGAGGGGGTGGAGAGGGAGACGTACACGTATAAATACATTGCGTACACATACCGGTGCTCCCCCACATTCCCACAAAATCACGAAATCAGACCCAAGGAATTTAGAAGACTTTAGAAGAAAAAGAAGTTATTGTTATTCTTTTGGTTTAATCATGCAGGGCAACGAGAGTCAGCCGCCCCAGCCCCTTCGGCGTGGTGAGCATAATGCTGCGGCGATGCTTCCTGTTGATCCATCGTTTATATTTGACGAGGGAAGAGGCACCGTTCCTTTCACCCAGCAAGGCACTCAGCAGCCAACGCTTTCCGCATCACGTCAGCGTCCTCGCTTTGCCACCGCGCAGGATCTTGATGATGCCCTCCTGCAAGCCATTGAAGGTAAAATTACCCGCAAGAATGCTTGGGTCTCGAAGGACGCTAGCAACCTGCTGGAGGGCATCACCCATACGGTTGAGAGCACATTAGATGCTGCAACAACTACCGACGAGTATTCCAGCTTTGCCAAGGTGGCAACTGTTGTGGAGGGATGCTCAAAGGTCTGGACAAGTCGCGTTGACAGCACTTACCAGCGCTCCAACCAGATGGTACGGCGTCTGCTGCGAAACGAAGAGGGCGGTGATGATGGCAGCGACGGCGAGAGAAATGTTGCGGATGATGACGCCAGTGGCGAAGGCCCTGCTGCTGCCGCTGCTGCTGAACGCAGGAAGAAGGCTGCCCAACGCCGCACGCAGTCGGTCCGCACTATCGCAATGGATCCGTCAGAAATCAATTTGGACGGCAGGGGTCGCATGACACTTGTTCACACGGGCATGAATGCACAGTTTCGTGCCATCACGGAAAAGTTTGATCAGGGCAACGCCCAAGGTCTGTTGCTGCACAACACACCATTGGGGAGCGCGGGAAATTTGATTCTCGACGTGGATTACGCACGCGATACAGGTCGGGAGTACTCTGCGCGACGTATTCGACTCTCTGGTGGATCACGAAAAGTCAAAGAAGAACCGGAGGACGAGGAAACGGTAACGTTCGCTGTTGCTGAAGAAGAGTTCGATGTTGGTCTTGACGCTCCCCTCGAATTACCTCCGTTCCAGTCTGTTTTTTTGACAACAGCGTCGGCGGGGCACAGTCCGCTTTCCGGCGATGGAAGTGTTAGTGGCAGTGGCGCAGGAGGTGGTAACAGACTGAGTGGCAATAGCAGCATGAAGGCAGAGGAGGAGGAGGCCTGGCGGCCATCGATCATGTTGCCGTCGCTGCTGCTTCTACCACACACGGCGCCGATACAGGCGGAGGAACCTGGAGGTGGCCATATGATGACTGCAGGGGAACCACAAGGCCAACCACAAGAAAATCCACAGGAGCTGGGGGCCGTTACCTCGCTCTTCCCTACAGAATACCAGCAACAGCAACAGCCTCCTGAGTATGATCATGGCATGGATGATGGGGACTGGGGTGGCGGCATGGATTACGGCGATTTTTGTGACGATGGCAACACAGTTGCCAGCGTTGGTGTTGCGGATGGGAGCGATGCAAATAGTGAGTTTTTGCGCGAGCGTGCCGTGGCGGAGGCGCGTCATTTGGTCTCAGGAGCCACGGAGTTAAATGCCATGGACGGTTGTCTTTTCGGGGAAAATCGTCTGGCACTCGAGGCAGAAGACCCCACATCATGGTTCCCGCTTGCAGAGCCACCAGCAAATGCCTTGTTGGGTAGTGGAGCACACAAAAACTCCGAATTGCTGCGGCTGCACAAGGAGCACCGTGTCGTCCAGGCTTTTGCACAATCCCCGGGAGCCTCCACACCGGCGAACAAACGTGTTAAGCGAGAGAAGACCGTTGTGTTTGATCTACCGGGCGAGCTGATCTCTACCTCTGCTGCAGGAGGCTCTGGAGATGGTGGGGACGTGGTGAGCTCCTTGTCCTCATCCTCTTTCCTCCTGAGCGGAAAAGGCTTTGACAGTTCAACCCTCAAGCAGAGCACAACTGTCGGAAAGAACATTACGTCAATTGGGAAGGAACTACTGCTCAGTAAGGATCCAAATGCCATTCTTGCATTTACACAGAGTGCTGTGCAGCGCAGCAGGGCGCAAGAGGCGGGGTTGTTGCTTGCAGAGCCGCCCGTGCCCGGTAAAAGCATTCCGTCGTATCTTCCATATCCAATCACCGTGCCGAGTTTCTTTCAGCCCTTTTCAACGTCGCTCTTGCAGTGGAATCTCTTGCGCAAGTCCGCAACGGGCCAAAATTTTGCACTCAGCAGCGCTGCACCGTCACGACGCGTGAGTGGCATGACTGCGAAGAATGACTGGGATACAGGGAGGAATGAAGACTCGCAGAGTCAATTTGGAAACCACGACGATGCAGATGGCGGGGGTAGCGTCTCCGGCACAGTCGGCGCCATGCCGGCGGAGTTTTTTTACGGCGGTGCTGAGGCCGACGACGAATTCATGGGCGCTGGCGGGTACGACGACTACGATGAGGATGGCGGTCGCGCTTACGGGGACGTGGAGGACCCGCTGCGGCAAGTGGAGGCGCAAATATTGTCAAGCTTCGAGCGGTTAGAGTTGGCGCGGGCAGCAAGCAGCACGGGGACAGTGTTGAACGACGGACGCCGCAGTGGTGCCGATGAACTCGCTGGCGCTGATCCAATGAGGCTTGCGAAAGTCCTGCAGCCGCCACAAACGGCGCTCCCGTCGCAGGTGGACGTTGCGAAGCTGCGGCAGGCGATGTGGGAGTTGCTGGACGACGCGATACAACGCAGCTCCGCCGTCAAGGAGCAGTGCCACAAGAGGGAGGTGCGGCAGAAAACGGCGGGTCACAAACGTCGCCGTGCGGCCAATGGGGATGAGGACGAGGACGACGACGAGAGGGATTCGGAGAGGCCGAGTGGGAACGATTTGCCGCGGTTCAGTGAAATTGTTATGCCAATTTTGCCGCGGGTGCCGACGATATCCGCCACCGGCACTCTCTCTCCAGCCTTCTTCTTCTTTTCCATTCTCTTCCTTGCCAACGAGCACGGGGTGGTGCTGGAGAGTGTTCCGGGGCTGGACGACCTCGTCGTGCAAGGCGTGAGCCACCCAACGACCCCCGCAGCCGCAGAGTAACAGCAAAGTGGAGAACAAACATTAGAACGAGGAGAAAAAAAAAAAAAAAAGAGAGGGTGCAAAATAACATGCCTTTTGATATTTTTTGTCGTGAGGCCACGAAAGACAAACAAACAAAAAATGAATAAATAGAAAAATGAAGAGGAGGGGAAAGAGGATGGTCGAGAAAAGTTTTTTTCTTCTAATTCCTCACTTGCTTTCCGCGGACATACATATGTGTTTTTTTTTTTTTTGTGTGTGTGTGTGTGTGTGCAGGCGAGAGAGATCGTCAGCGCAGGAAGTAGAGTTGGGCCGTCCATCCTGGCGGAATGCGTGCAAGTATAGTTAAGCGTCCCACTACGCATACATACATGCATGAGATGCGTACGTGGTGGAGTCAGCGGCGGAGGAAGATTGGCGTGGGGCCGCGCCGCGCCGCAGTGAAGGACCGCATCACTTTTTAAAAACACCAACAAGAGTTGGATGAGGACTGGGAAGGGCAAACACACATATATGATGTACACATGCATAGTGAGAGAGATGGAGAGAACGAGGAAAAGTGAATGACAGAACAATGTATCCATCATTTCTTCCCCTCCTTTGTTTCATGTAAGATTTTTTATTTTTATTTTTTTTTTCTGTCTACTCTTTCTTACGTGACGCGACATGTTTTGGTTTTGCTATGAAGAGGATTAGGGTGACATGTCTTTTGGCGGACGCAAAAGCTCCACCCAAGCAGCAAGAAGGAGTGAATAGAGGAGTCTTCAAGTAGCAAATATTCGTCAAAATAAAGGGTGATTAGTTGAATTTGGTGGAAGAGGGGCAGAGAGCAAAGGCATTACGTGCGGCAACGAAGCAAGAAAATAAAGTAGGAAGGAAGAGAAGGCGTGCGTATAAGGAAAAGAAGGAGAGGGAAGATAAGAAAGACAGACGGGGGATGTCATTTCCACTACCAAAGAAGTATTATCTTCTTGTGCACGATGCAGCACGCAAAGTGCTTGGAACCGATGCGGAGATTTCCGCCTTTGTGTCGTCCAAACGAAAGTTTCAATGCGACATGCTCATCAACGCCAGCGCCACTGACCCCGAAATGACGGGCCGTGCAGGCGGCGGCGGCGATCACTCCTACCAGAGGGAGTTTGCTGTGGGGCTGCAGCGGTATTTGGGCAGCTGCGATGTTGTCGTGCGTTCACGGCGCCTTGACGTTGTGTTCATGGACCGCGAGGTGCTGCAGCTCGCACTGGGTGCCCCACGGCGGGCAATCAACAACTTGCAGCGCGGGGAGGAGATCAATGGTGAGCCTGACTGGACTCGCCGCAACCGTCTTCGCATTTCACTCGGCTACGACGAGGACCTCTTTACTAACGTGTGTGATCTCAAGATGAACATCGCCGCCCGCCTGATGGAGAAATTTGTTTTTGATACATACTACAACTCCACTTACCATGGGAGTGTGGAGCAGTTTATGCAGAGGGAGAGTCCACCCGTGACTTACTGGCAGGCGCACGGCTACACCTTGGCGAGGGAGTACCAGTTTGACCACCATGTGACTCTTGCTGGTACTATTGCCCAGAACTTTGCGAAGTACTATGGCGAGTTTGCCTTTGACAACCCCTACTGTCCCGGGGAGGACCTGAACACCATTTCCTCGGTGCAGTGGCTGTGCAAGGCGTGGAAGCAGATACCGATGGAGGACGAGGAGGGGAATGTGCGTGAGCTGCAGCTTGGCACAAAACAGCAGCCTTCACACCCTCAGTCGTAGAGAGGCTGGAATGTGTGCAAGTGAAACGGCGTAGTGCCAATAACGATGCGCATCTGCCCCAGACGGAGACGGCGTTGATACACTCACTCACACCACGCTCCTTGTGCATATATGAATGCGTACATATAGGCAAAAATCCGTGACGGAGGTATCATTCAGAATTATTTTTCTTTTGTTTGCTTCTATTTTCGGATGCACACTTTTTCGCTTTTATCTGCTTATCGTGCTTTATCCCACCTATAGCCAAGATAACGAGCGAAGGAAGAACAAATTAAACAGAAGAAGAAAAGAAAAAGGCCGCATTCACACGGGGAGGATAGAAGGATAGGGGGTAAGGGAGAGAAATGGGCGCAACGCCTGGCGATGGCTCTAAAAATGCCGAGAGTAGCCGCCGCCGCCGTAATGCAAAGACCAATGGCAATGACGGAGTGGTGCCTGCACCTCCGTCGAGTTCCTCACCAACACCTCCTCCGTCAGCATCCTCCTCCTCCTCCTTCCCCACGGAACCGGCAACGACAACCAAAACGGAGGTGTCATTGTCATCACCGAGCCGTCGGCTTGCTCTTTTTGGTAGTCGCGCGCTCGCTGCCGGCAGCAAAGGCCGTTTACCGTCTTCTAGCTCTTCCTTTAATAACACGGCTTCTTCTTCGTCTTCCTTGCGTGCGCAACAGCAGCAAGGCGTGACGGCGTTTGGTTCTCTTCGTAGGGATCTTGCGGCGCACATTCGCCCGAGCAGTGATTTGTCGTCGCAGGGGAAATATCTTGTCGTTGGTGACGGCATGATGGCGCCGTTCATGGCACTTTGTCTGCGCGTCCACGGCTTGGACTGCGACCTTGCCCACCACTTGAGCAACAACGACATGGACCGCGGCACCATTGTGCTCACCCCTTCTGTCACGCAGGTTATGGGCGACGTGCTGAACGTCTCTGTTCCAAGCGGGAGCGTAGTTGGTCGTATCTTGACATTTGACCACGTTGGGAATGACATGTGCGACGTGGATTTGAATGAATTTCGCGAGAAGGGTGAGAGCCCGACGTTTTTCTGCTGCGATCGACTCAAGTTGGAGCGGGCGCTGCTGTCTTTGTGCGAGGTCGGTTCCCACAGCTGCCACGTGTTGCCAAAGCCGCACATTGACAAGGGTGGCCTTGAACCGCTTGAGAATGGCGGCGTACGCGTGCGGTTTGCAAGCGGCATGCAGCAGGATTACCTTGGCGTCATCTGCACGAGCCGCAGCCAAGAGCTTGTGCCGGAGCTCACGTTCACGAATGAGGAGTTGCAGCAGCGGGCGGAAAATGCGGAGAAATTCAGGGAGAGCCTTGCGAAGGCGGTGCGGTGGATGGAGTTGTGTGTACCTCCGCTGCCGGAGCTGGGGAGGTTTGAAAAGCGCTTCACGCCGGGGTCGCAGGAAATCGTTGAGCTGCTCACCCCACGCGATGCCAAAATGACAGTGCGACCCACAATGATGGCGACGAAGTTGTTTTACAACGTCACCATCACCATCCCGGACGGCACAACGGACCCACGACTGAAGAGCACCAGCACGAAGCAGTTCTGGGATGATGTCGTCATGCACTGGACCTCCGGGGTGCCTGGGTACATCCCCCACACAATGTTCCGACCCATGATGACGCACATGCAGCAGCATTTTACGAAGAGTAGTGTATTGGTCTACCGTACCCCGCTTTTTCTCATGCCACAATGGTCAGAGGGTGGCGGCCGCGTTATAAAGATTGCACACGCCGCGCATGGCTCTGCATTTGACGCTATTGACGTGGGGGACGCACAGGGGTTCACCGACTGCTTTGGCCTTGCACGCACAGTGGCGGGGGGCGACGATGTGCAGCAGTTCCTTCGCGAGCGGCGACTACAAGTCATGGAGGAACTTGACTACCACGCACTACTGCTGAATTACGGCGTGAAGGAGAGAGGACAGTTGGCATACATGTCATCTCGCTTTGCCATGAAAATTTTGCGGCGGTACAAGAAGAGCTGGCGCAGCATTTTGCAAAACTACGTGACGCTGATGCCGAAGGTGGCGAAGTAACTGCCTTACGTACGTTTCCGTATACCTTGAATACATTGTATTTTTTTTTTTTTAATAAAACACGCTTACGTATATAAATACCTTTCTCTTTATTGTTTTCTTTTGTCCATATGCATGTATCGTCTTTCTGCCTGTGTGCCAAAAGAGGTTTTATGGTGTGGAGGCCCCCCCACACAAAATGCGGCAAACAGAAGAAAAAGTCGCCTGGATGCGAGAGTGGAGGGAAGTGAGGATTCTCTGCGTGTGTGTGTGTGTGTGTGTGTGGAGGGAGGGAGAGAGAGAAAGGAAAGAAATGTTTGGTAAGTGTCTACAAAATTAGACGAAGATGGGGACGATACAAACAAATGAATGGGTTAGTGAAGAATAGAGGGACGGGATGAGTTATATACATATATAAATAATGTTTATGCGCATGTGATTCTGTTTCACTCTCTTGTTAGCGAGTTTCACGTCCTTTTTTTCTCTTTTTTCTTCCTCCATATACACACATGTGCGTGCACTAGCGCAGCGTTGTTTATTGTGTTGCATATTCCTTTTCTCTCGTTTCACGTTTGGAGAGGGAGAGAGAGGAGTGAGGGGAGAGGTTGTACATGCAGCGTGGGAGCCGTCAATTGTATGCCGTGAACAAATCGATAGGGCACCGATGGAGTGCTATCCCGAAGCCACCACCTCCACACATGGATCGTCTCTGCGGGACGCATAGTGTACTCAACGCTCTCCGGGCCTTTTACAATGCCGTTGGGTGTCGACACCCGCACCGGCAGAAGCTGCATTGCCTGTTCGTGCGGGACTTCCGCCTTGCTTTGGGTGACGCAAAAGCATATGACACGTCCAATAGTCATGAGGAGGAGGATGGTGAGAGGAAGGAGGGGAAAGAAGGGGATTCTCATGGTGAAGTGTGGGTGCCGCACCAGTACCCAAAAATTCAGCGCATCGTGCGTCTTGCGCGGGCCATGCGTCTCGATGTAAAGGCGGTGGAGCGGCGTGAGTTGGTGCGGCTGTGCGGGGAGCGGCGTAATCAGAACGTTGTACTCGAGGTGGCAGGCTACACGCCGTGGGATGTTGCGGCGTGTCCGTGGCCGAGTGGCGGTCGCAATGCTCCTGGTCACGGGAATAATGGTCACGATAACAAGGGGCGGTCTGGGCATTCGGGTGGTGGCGGTGGCGACAACGTGCTTTTCCTCGATCACGTTATCGACCCGGGCAATGTCGGTGCCATCATGCGGTCGGCGTTCTTTTTGGGCGTGCGGTGTGTTGTGTTGAGTTGTGACAGCGCTGGGTGCACCGCGGCAATGGCGCGGGCGAGCGCCGGGGTCATGGAACACATGGCTGTGTACCGCAGCGTGGTGCCCACCACAACGTTTCTGGAGAACACCATTGCCCAACACAGGGCTCGAGGAGACCCATGCAGTCTTGAGATGTATGCGGCCATCACGATCCCAATGCACGCAATCATGCGGAGCGGACGCCAACCAAAAGAAGAAACAGAAAAAGGAGGAGAACCGATGCGACGTCGGCTCCTCTTGCTGGGCAATGAGGATAAAGGTTTACCACCAGAGGTAGTGCGCCTGTGTTCACACGCCGTGCATATTCCTTCTCCTTGGATGCAGCAGTACGAGCAGCGGTGGCTACATCATGCAGACACAACAGCAAAGAAGGGGAATTGTGCCAAGGGGAAGAACGGGGTGGTGTTGGAAGACGATGTTGTCTTGTTGCGGCCACAGGAGGTGTCGTTGAATGTGAGTGCGGCTTCTGCCATCATTCTTGCCACCCTGCTGGCCGGTGATCGAGTAGTTGAAATCCACCGAATTGGCCGATAATACGCGACACACATACATACATACATACAGTTGTCTGTAGGAGTGGGTTTGAGTGGAAATTACGGATGCGTGCGGCTCTTCCTTTACTGTGGGCACAACGTTTTTTTTTTTTTTTTGCTTTTTCTTCTTTTCTGCTCCTTTTTGCTGTGTGCTGGGGTGGGGCAGTGGCACACGCCGCACTCCACCGGTTTTTCAACCAAATACAAGGGAAGAAGAAAGGCGGAAGGAGCAGCAACAAAAATAACAGAATAAATTAGTCCGGGAGAGAAAGTGGAAGAAAACGAGAAGTGAAGAGGAGGGAGGGGGAAACAAAGTGGTATTGCCCGAAAAGAAATGCGCCCGCAGATAGCCCCCACAGCACTCTTTTCACGAAGCCACAGGAGCGATGGGAGTGAAATGCAGCAGGCGCAGATGAGCTTGCCAGCGCCACCACAAGCGGTAACTTGCTGTTTCTTGGGAGATTCCCATGCCGGACGAGAAGAGGAACTACAGCCTCGGCATCGGCCGTTAAGGGTGATGGATCCAACCACAACAGAACCATCTTTGCCATTTTCAGCAGGTGCATCCTTTGCGGCTTTACGTTCTATTGCGGCATACTTGACGCCAGACGCGCCGCTGGCACTTGTCGCCTGCAGTCCATATGCCAGACTAGCCCTGGAGGTGCGGGAGAAGGGCTACGTGCTGCCGGGCAATCTCCGTTTTGAGCGACGACCGGGCCCAGCTGCTGCTAAGGATTCCGGGCAGCCGTCATGCAGTGAAACCAACGCCCAAAGGAAAAGCATTCACACTGGCAGAACCTCCAGCAGTGATAGTGGAGGTAGCATTGTCGGAGGAAATTTGGTTTCAGACATGAGCGCCTATTTTTCACCGCCGCAGGAGCTTCTTCAGTTCTTGACATCACACAAAACATCTCCCTCTCGAGCGGCGTGCGGAGGAGCAGCTGCGCTGCGGCCACGACCACCGGCAGCAGCAGCAGCAGCAGCAGCACAAGAAGAAGAAGGAGCGGCGGCAAGCGTTGTGGTCATGGAGCAGACAACTACACACGCTTCGGATAAAATAACTGCAGCAGCAGCAGCACCAACAGAAACATCCACCTCCGAGGCGTTGCAGTACGCCCTTTGGTGGGTGCGGCGTTCTCCGCTTCCAGTGTCAATGAGCCTGCACAGTTTTGACGCGGATGAGGTGAGGTTGCTGACGGCGCAGCTACAGAGTCCGACACGCAGGATTGTGCTACGCGAGCTTTTTCTGCATGGCCAGCAAGTCTCCGACGTCACACCGTTTTTGCCACACTGCACAGATGTGAGGGCACTGGTGCTACGCAACACGCACTTGACGAGCGAAAAATTAGGTCTGCTTCCCCAAAAATGCCGCCATGTTGAAAGACTTTCGCTCTGCATGAGTTCCTCGGTGTCCTGCACGCGGTTCCTGCGGCACCGATCGCTTTGCGCGCTTCGTGATTTGGATCTTTCATACACTCAGGTGACAGAAGAGGGCATGTATCGTGACGTCTCGAAGTTAAATAAATTATCACGCCTGTCTCTCGAAGGGTGCCGGAAAATTGAAAGTCTCCAGTGGCTTAGGGCCCTCAACCAACTACGGGTACTGGATTTGGGCTACAGCAGCGTCACAGACGATAGTCTGACGGCGCTGCGTTTCTGTCCAGAGCTTGCGAAGCTCGATCTGCAGTGGTGTGGTCGTATTACCAGCCTAAAGTGCCTCGTTGGCGCACTCTGCGATAGTCTGCGCGAGCTCAATCTCACTGAGACTTCCGTGACTGATGAGGGTCTTGTGCCTCTCAAATACTTTGCTGCGCTGGAATGGATTTCGTTGGAGGGCTGTGGTGCAGTCTCTGATGTTAATGTGCTTTGCAATCTCACACGGTTGCGGGAGGTGGATGTGGGGCGCACGCGTGTCACAAACAGAGGTGTGGTGTCACTTTCCCAGTGTCAGGCACTGCGTGTCATGCGCATGCGGCAGTGCTATCGGCTGACGGATGCCAGTTTTCTGGGGGCTTTGCAGCAGCTCGAGGAGGTGGACCTGTCGGATTGCCCCGTCACAAATGAAGGCATTGCGGAACTTTTTGGGGCGCGTTCTTTGCGGAAGCTGCGGCTGCAATCGTGCCACGCCGTAAGCGATGTGAACTTCCTTGGCGGACTGGAGCACCTCATGCTGCTGGACCTGCACCACACAACCGTTGATGAGGAGGGATCTGTCGGCCTTGCACAATGCCCGCAGCTCATGACACTCATTATGCACTCTGTTCTTGTGCACTCACTGCAACAGTGGAATACTGCGTTGTTTTTGCCGAGACTCAAGCGGCTTGACCTTAGCACCACCAAGGTGACGTCAGATGCCCTTTCGTTTGTGAGGATGTGCCCGATCCTGGAAACATTGTCTCTTCGCGGGTGCAAGAACATCACGCACCTGGACTTCCTCATCCTTCAACCATCCTCTGGAGCCGGTGTGTGCGCGATTGTTCCTCGCGACGCTGAACCACATGATACAGTCGGTGATACTATCGCTGGAAAAGAGAAGAATCCGGATGACGGCCCTTCTCCCATCGAGACTATGACGATAAACGACGGCGTCATAAAATCAACGGCAGCGGCAGCAGTGGTGGACCGACACCGACTGCGAGAGCTCACACTTAGCGACACGGGTGTGACAGACGACGGTCTGCGAGCGCTTCAGTATTGTCCGGGTCTAGAACGTCTTCGGCTCGCACATTGCAAGAATGTCACCGACGTTGCCGTCTTGCGTTGGCTGTCGCAGCTGAAGGAGTTGGATTTAAGTGCGACAGGCGTGACAGGCAGTGGACTGGCAAAGTTGTCTCCAAGCGGTAACCTCCCAGAGCGCTGCATGGCGGAGCGGGAGTGGGAAGAGGAGGGAGGCGTTGCTGGCGACAAGATGACCGGCGTGCGGTGCATGCCTACTGGATGTGTCGCTCTTGAGAAACTATGGCTTCAGTCGTGTCCTCATTTGGAGAACATACGACTGTTATGCGGATTCCCGCAGCTGAAGGAACTGTTTCTTATCGACACACCACTGCGACAACGAGGACTCGACATGTCGCTGCTATACCACCGCAATCCGAATTTAAAACAAATACACCATAGCAATATCACCATATTTGTCTGATAAATACAACCATTCCGCCAGGAATGCCACTGGCTCGGCGCCTTTATTTTATATATTTTTTTGCTATTATTATTTATTTATGTGCGTTTGTATTTTGCTTTTGTTTACTTTTCTCCATCTGCGTTTGATTTGTGAAGGCGCGCGCGATAATGTGACTGTGGCTCCCGTTTCACGGTTGAGAAGTATGCATAAAAATGGGATGCGGTGGAGGGAGAAAGAGAGAGAGAGGGGAGGAAAGAAACGGCTGTGTCATTATGGTGAAGGGACAAACCACCGGGCATATTGAAGATTGTTGACTCCGTGTGACAATGCCCTCACCGTTGGATGCGCTCTGCATGGGCACATCGAAAAGTAAGGGACGGAAGGAGGTGCCATTGGCTGCAATTCCTTTTTTTGTCTGTGTTTTTCTCCTTCGAAGTGTGATTACATTGTGTGTGTGTGTGTGTGTGTTCTTGTTTGTTTTTTATACAATGACGAGCCTTTTTTCTATTAATGGACTCTATACAAAAGGATTTTGCATTTTTTTTTGTTTTTGTTTTTTCTCTTGCTGTTTTGTGGGCGCGTTGCTCTCTTCAACCTTTTCCGGCGACCATTTTTACGCTCCTCGCCCTGTGTTATCTGCGTGCTGTCCCCTAATCCCATGTTTGTTGCTTCTTGTGCGCTGTTCACGGAATTTTCTGGCCGGCTTTGCGCCGTTTTTGTTTCTTTTTTTAATTTTCTCGCTTGCAGTTATTCACGCTGACGACATCTGCGCCGCGGGTGGGGGGATGACGAACGTCAGTCACGGCGGCGGCGGCGGCGGCGGCGGCCACTCCACCACACGCACAGGGGTGGAGTCGACGGCAAACGAGACCACGCGCAACTTCATTCTGGGCCTTCCCAAGGAGGGCCCTGCGCCGGGGAGCGCAGATGCGGCCTCCCTGCAGGCAGCAGAGGCATTTGTGGGGGAAATACAGGAGGAGATCATGGCGTATGACATGGCCAACGCACGGGCCATGGAGACATACGCGCGGAGTCTTTGGGCGAAAATACCCTTTTTTGGAAAGCGGTGGGCAACTGAGACCAGCGCTGATGTTTTAGGAGGGACTCCGCCACTAGAAAGTCGCGGCAACGAAAATGTCAATACTGCCACAGCCACAGCTGCGGCTAGCAACATGAGGGGACAGTGCCGTGTGGAGCGTACATCGGCGGAGGTGGCGGGTGGGAATAAAAGGCCCCCGCAGCCAAGGATGAACAGTTGGCTCTTCAAGCAGCGCCATCCCGGGTGGGTGCCGCTCATTCAACGCTGGTGGGTTCCTTGCGTCTGTGTGGCGGGCATTGTTGTCATCTGGACACCCGATGTATGGAAGCTACGGACGTTGTATTGGTGCGATTACAAGTACGCCCTCTTCCGGCAGGCCATTCACAAGGCATACTGGCGTGCAACGATGAGCGCAGAGGAGTATGAGCAGTTGATGCAAGAATTGGAGCAGGGACGGCCGCTCTCTGCAAAGGCCACCAAATGCCCACTGTAAAGACATGCGACAAGTATGGAAAGAAGGGGCAAACGAACGGGCCTACGGAGGAGACGTCATGAGTCGCATGGAATGAAGGCCAGTTGTGACATTTTGAACGGGTAAGAGCGGCAGAAGGGAAAGAAGTGAAAATACGAGGAGTAGAGGACACGTGTTTATGTGTGTTTTTGTCTATCTCCATGCGGTGCCCACAGAAGGAGTGGGAGGAGATGAAAACAAAGGAGTGCTTGATGGAGAGTCCTCCTCAACACAACAAACAAAATTAAATCGGAAGCAAAACAAAAAAAAGCAAACAAACAAACGAAGCAAACAGGCGAGAACAAGGAGGAGTGGGAGCTGACGAGGCGAGGTGAAGGAAGAGGGGGATTGCACGTTTCCGTGTGCGTGCATGTGTGTAATAATTTATTGGCAGTGGTAGAAATCATGGCTGTGCTGGTGAATAACTACACTTGACGCCCGCAGCCAGGCATCCATGCATGCCAGCGGTGAGGAGGAGGAACAAGCATACACACAGACACACACAAAAGAAAAAGGAGCAACAGTGAAGTATGCGTTTGTGTGGTGTGTGTGTGTGTGTATGCACTCTTGTTTTGCAAATGATGCGTACAATTGAACAAAGTCATCGCCAGCTACAAGGAAAAAACCAGCATCAACCATGAGGAACATTTCTCCGCGCTGTCATTTCCATTTTTTTCTTCTTTTTGGAGAGGCCATTTATTTATTTATTTCTCCTCTCTTTTTTTCCCTATTGCCACTTGTGTATGACCCTCTTTGAATTTTTTTTTTTTTTTTTTTGGCTCGGCTCCCTCTTCGCAGGTATTCACACGGCTACTTAACACCTTAACTCCACCCTAACCCTAACCCCCTTTTGTGCCCTTGAGAGAAGGGGGGCGGCGAAGGGGTCTTCCTTGGATTCTCACACATACACATACACACATACTCTCTCTCTCTCTCTTTCTGCTTTTCTTCATGTGTTTACGTGTCTGCCTTCTTTATGGCGTTTTCTTCTTTTTTTTTTCTTTTACTGCCGTTGCCTTCTGTTGTGTGATGGTGGCTTCTGCGACATACTCTTTTTTCGGCTCTATCTGTGGGTGGATGTGTCAAGTGAACATTTGTAGCGCTCTCCCTCTTTCTGGTTGTGCGATTTATTCATCCCGCCGTCCATATTGCGTTGATTCACACACGGCCAGTGTGTGTGTGTGTGTGTTATTCCTCCCGCCACTGCACGATCGTGTCGGTGGAGCTGCCAATAAAAACGAATTCGCGGGGGGTTCTCTGAGAGGTGGGTGTGAGATTGTGTGTTTGTGTGATGGAGACACCCTCAGAGTCGACATTGCCGTCCAATGTGGACAAGGCCGAAATAACCGCACCGCGTGGTGGTGAGGCCTGGGCCATAGACTTCTCATTGCCAAGGGTGCGGCGAAAGATCACAAGGAAGGAGCGTGATGCTCTCATCTCCAGTCGCATACGGCAGCAAATGCAGCAGCTGCAGCGGCCCTCATCAGGGGCGAAGAAGAAGGGTGAGGGAGAAATGATGCGAGTCGGACAGGCAGCGGACAGCGAAGATAACCGACACATGCGGATTGTAGCCGTTGATGGCATGGCAGACCTTAGTGATCTGGTGCCCCAAAACCTCACCACCACACGTGAGGACTTAGAAGAACGACTTTGTCTGCGTCTCCCACGCCTACTCAGTGTGACAAAACAATATCCAAAGAGCTGCGGTGTGTCCTCGCTGGCGTCTATATGGAACTATCTGTACACACGTCTGGGCGAGGCTGATGTGGGCGTCTCTCGTGCGCCTGTGGCGCAGGAGGAAATCATGACCATTCTTGGCTTTGCGCCGCCGTTTGATGAGATTTCGTGGGGCCCTTTCACAGGCAATGGGACCCTCTTTCGGTGGTTTCATGCCATCAACCGCCACTTTGGCGTTAAGGGACGGGCGTACATGTTGTACAAGCCTCAGGGAAAGGGTCGTACAAGCTGCACGGCGGAGGAGGCCCTACGGGAGCTAAAACGCGTTTTGCGTGACCCCCACGCTGCGGTGGTGTACCATTGCCACAACCACTACATGGTGCCCGTTGGATATCAGGAGATTCCACTGGCGCAAACGGATTTTTACGCTCCGCAGGTGCCGGAGTCGAATACGGAGACGACTATCTTTATAGGTGAGGTGAGTCGTGGTCGGCACGAGGCAATGTACGCGAGAAAGTGGAGCGAAATTGTGAAGGACCTCATGTGCCGCTCCCCACAGTTTTACAACATACGCCGGCCTGAAATGGGAATACAGAAACGCGTGCCGAAGAAGAAGAATAATGATGCGAAGGGCGATGACGAGGCGGCAGCGGCAACGGCGGCGGAGCAGCAGCAGCAGCAGCAGCAGGATCAGCGGGAGAGCAAGACACCCGTCAGCGCTTTGTCTCCGCCACCAACATCTCTTTTTGAGGCGAAAATTGCCCCTGTTGCGAGCGGCAGCGACACGACAACAACGGCCGGGGCGGGCACAAGGAGAAAGAAAAAGACGGGAGGGGGCAATTTGCACTGCCTGATTTGCTTCCGCAGCGACGAAGTGGAAGAGCACCCGGAGCGCTACGAGGATCCCTCCACCGACTCAAACAGCAGCAGCAGCAGCAGCAGCAGCATTGAAAGCGACAACAACGAGAAAGAAGGCATGGATGATGTAGAAGCAGAGTATTTCTGAGAATTTGTCTTTGTGATAGATGCTCTTAAAACCATAAGCACGGAGACTAATACTGATCTGGTGATCATTTTAAATGCATGCTACTCCCACCAAAAAGGAGGGGAGGGTGGATGGAGACGCTGCAATGATCAGCTGCACACACAAACCTAGAACAGTTGGAGGAAGCAACAGACACAAAAAAGCCACGAAAAAAAAAAAAAAAGAAAAATCAAAAAAGTGTGGCGGTGGGTGGATTTGATTTGTTGCTTTTTTTGGTTGTTTGGTTTGTTTGCTTTTCTTTTTTGCTTTTAAATCATTTCTACGTCAGTTTTTTGCCCTCATCTCCATACTTTCTTCTTTTTGATAAATCCCTTTTTTCTCCAACGAGAATAAGAAGGACGTGCTCTACCCATGCAATGTATATACCTGTGTGTGTAAATATATATTTCTGGCGTGCCTGTGTAACTGCACCTCCGTTGTGTTTATTTTCTTTACCAGTGGAGTAAATAGGTACAAAAAGAGGGTCCATTGGATTCATACATCCATACTTACGCATTTATTATACACGGGGAAGGGAGGGCTTGATACCCTTTCTTTCTTTGTGTGTGTGTGCGTTGGGGAATACAATACCTTTAATTACATCTACGCATAAATACATCCCTACTTCTGCCTTCTATCGGTTATATCCGTGGGGAGCAGGGGAGAGTAGCAGCCGCAGGCGCTGGAGGTGTAGATGCGATCGCGCAATCCTGAGGTGCGCGCTGCTCGCATCCGTCGTCGCCAAAATGATGCGAGGGAAGAAGACCAGAACGGCAATGACGGTTATGCTGGTAGAAGTAAACGTGGCGGTGCTGGGGGTGTGCTTGCTGCGGATGCGGCACAACTCATGGCGCGTATGCGGCACCGCTCGGAGGAGCGCCGAAAGGCAGAGGTGCGTGTTGGCGAGCGTGAGGGCTGGATCAAGTCGCGTTACGCCGACATTTCCGGCGGTGTGCGGTTTGTCAAGGACGAAATCCTGGCGGAGCTCATTGCGGAGACGAAGTCCAGCTTTCTCAAACTGGACCAAGAGCTTTCCGAGGATCACAACATTGCCACAAGGCGCCTACATGCCGCTGTCTTTGCACACACCACGGATTTTTTGCAGCTCTTCCGTGATGTGAATCGCGCGAGTAATTTGATGGATAGTTTAAAGGGCCGCGTGCAAGGAACGAAGGCCGCCATATCTGCTATTAGTAAATTCAGTACGTACGCCACTGGTGCTGCTGAGGAGGACAGCCGTGCCGTCTCGGAGGTGTTTGGCGTGTCATTTCTTTTTGGCGGTGGCGGTGGTGTCAACAACAGTGGCACCGGCCCCGTTATTTTTGGTGGAAGAAATAACAATAACAGGAATAATGTGAAGGCGCGGGCGAGACCGAGTCTTATTTCTTTGCGGCTTACATGGGGGGGCAATGCTTCCCACAAGACATTTGTCACCCACGCAAGTGCTGACAGCAGTGACGCTGATGGTGTCCGCCACCACGACGGGAACAGGAGGAGTAATAGCGACGCTGGCATTTATACTGGCGGCGCTCATCTGATGGCTACAACACGGTCGCTCAATACGCCGTCGGTGCGGCTCTGGCGTGACGCGACACTGGCGGCCGGTGGCGCCTCTGCCTCGATGAAACGTCATTCTCACGTGCGGTTGGATTTGGATCGAGATCTCGGAATGCCGAGTTCACAGGACATCGCACTCTTTGCGGATGTGCTGAAGGATGAGGTAATTCAACTCTTGGCAGGGCGGCAGTATCTTGAGGCGGCGGAGTTGTTGCGTGGTGTGGAGGAAACAGCTGTTGCCAAGGGATGTCTACCACTTATTTTAAGGTTAGAGGATATGCTCGTGACTGCCATACGAACACACTTGCTCCGTGTGCCGATGCCTCTCATGTACAGTGAGAGTTTACATATTCCTCTGATTCAGCTGCTTCTGCGTCTTGGCAGAGTGCACAAAGGGACAAGACTTTTTTTCCAGCTTCACGCCGCGTGGGTGGATGCTGAGATGGATAAGATGCAACTTCGCATGGACCCGCTGTACGGTGCGTTGATTGCCAGTGACTTTCTTGTCGGGGCAGTGCAAGAGGTGTTGCTGCGACAGCAAAATTTGTGGAACGCTGTTGGCCTCAAGGCCGAGGGAAAGAATTCTGATTATAGTCTTGAAAAGGATGAGGGTGGTGGGAAGAAGGGGGATAAGGTTTCACACGGCGCCACCACGACGATTAATTCTACTAACAACAACAACAACAACAACAACAACAAGGGTAGCAGAAGCACTGGATACAAGTTTGACGGCGATGAAGGTGGGACCGGTAATAAGGCCCATGTACGGGCCCAACCCGGCATGTTTATAATGCCACCGAACTCTGCTGCTGTGCTTTGGGTTAGAGAACGCGTGGACAAGCTTGCACGGGACTTGCTGGGAGCCAGGGCACTGAGTTACGGTATTGGCGCGGAGGGTGGTGACCCCTCGCGGTTTCGCCGCGCGGTGGTGATGGCAGCTGACGCGATTCGTACATTACGGCGTATGGATGACTCGGGATACGCCGGGTGCGACACACACCTGCTGCGCCTGTTGACCCCAAGCCTCGTCTACCTGCAGGCTGACTTTAGCGTCTGTACAGACAGTCGTCTTGAAAGTACGGGCAGGGCAATGGTGGAGCACCTCATCCGGGACGCACGGCTGATGTACAAAACAAATGAGGCCGCGTATAACCCTAAAATGTGCGAGGAGGTTGCACGACGAAATAATTGTGGCTGCCGTGAGTTGTATCAGCGTCTGAAGCATTTTCCCCGTATTTCATACGCATTATTGCTGGAACTCCTTCTTGTGCCAGCTTCATCAAGTCTCTTCACGACGAAGGGCAGTGGGATAGAGGCTTCGCAGCCGCTGAGGCAGCCTCTATCGCCGGAGAAGTACACTTTCCTGCGTTACGCCAACGGCTGCACGCGCTCACATGGACTTTTTCTTTTGTCTCTTATTCGGTTTGTGGCTGCAATGACCGGTCAAGATTCATTGCCTTTGGAGCAAATGGGGCAGCAGTCAACACAAGAACCGAATGGGGAATTTCGGGGAAATCAATTGGAATGCGTGTCTTTTCTCCTTTCCAATGCCCTTGTGATAGAGTCGCTTGACATCACGATGCAGCGTTTGTTTCTTTCGTTTCTACGCACAACACTGCGACAGAGACAGGCGTTGGTGGCATTTCTGAAGTCTGCGGAGTTCTTAAAGATTCACCGTCAGCTATTTTGCGCTGCGGGAGAATCCACCACGACTTTCTCGTCTTATTCCACCACGAGGTGGTTGATTGGCGCCATGCAGCTGCTCCTCGCAGATGTGTTGAGTGCGTCTGTCTGGGTGGCTTTTCTCTCTCGCGGTGGGGCACTGTCGTACATGCTGTGTGATGCAGAACTGGTATTTTGCTCACAGTACATGGAGGAGCTGCGTCGGGTGCTGCCGTGTGTTGTGCAGGGGTGGATGGCTGCCACACTGAGTCTGGCGCACAATATAAACACCGCACAGGAACTCCTCGTTGGTGATGACGCCCTGCTACTTTCTTCCGGGTACGATGCCACTGCCGCGGGGGTGACGAATGGCCGCGAAACCTCGACTGTGGCCGCTGCTGCCGCAAGTTACGTGGAGGGCGGAAATGGTTCACATGAAGCTGCGGCTCAGCTCCTTCAGGCGGCAGCTGTGGATGAGACAAAACTGATGCCATTTCTCATGGAACTCGTGCGAGGCCGATTCTCTTCACACACCGGCGAAGAAGTCGAGGCAACGTGGTCGGGCGCTCCACTCCAACCCTCATCATCACCATTGGTGCCCCTTCTTTGTGGTCTGCGTCACGCGCTTGGCAACTACCCGCATTTTCCCATGGGCGGTGGCTTTGACCACAGCGACGAACTGTTTCTTTTCCATTGGTGCGTCCAGATTTCGCTGAATACGCTTGCGTTCTTCCAGGAGCACCTCGTTCTTCCAAGCCACGTTGTGAATGAACAGCGGGCAGCGCAACACGGTGACACTGCGGCGAGGTCCACCAGTCCTGGGGTCACAGGGGCCTCGCGGTACCCGCTGCGGGGTTGCGTGTCACCGCAGGAGGAATCGGTGCTTGGGGCATTGGCCGCAGGTGGTGGGAATTACGTGAGTGGCCTGGCACTCTTGCAATTCATTGTTTTTCGCTTGCTGCGCGACGTGTTGTGCCGCATTGAGACATGGAGTGCGGTTTACGGTCTCCTCCCGGAGAGGTGGCGTCAGTCGGAGAGCATCTTGAGGCAACAGCTCTTCTTCTTCGCCCTATTCGTCCGGTTGTGGACGCCGCTTTTTGTTGGCGGGTCGAAGTCAACACCACAGGGACGACCAGCGATGACAAACACGAATGGCACCATCGACGGTGCGCCAGCCCTGGTGATTCTGCAGTGGCTGACATGTACTACGAGGGCAAAGGGGCATCAGAAGGAGCATCCGCATCCGCCGCAAAGGCACTTGTTTGACGTGGAGGGGTTGACGTTTTTATCGACTGTTGTGTCCCCAACTCAAGCACCGCCTGTCTCGCGGGAAATGGGCACGTGGAGGAGCCAAAGGAACAATGTCAGAAGTGGTGACCATAGACAGGAACAAGGTGCAATGGAAGGGAATTCAACCTCTCTACCGAACAAAAATCCCGCGGGTACGTCATCGCTGAAGGACGGCAACACGACCGCGTACACGAGTAGCGATGACACTGGTCCCAGCATGCTCCTGCTGGACGTGATCGGCTCCTTCTTTGATGCCCTTCAGGAGCCGAGGGCGCTGCCAGCGATCACCTCAGAGGTGACGAGGGTCCGTGTGGAGAGGGTTCTCACCTCTGTCGATCTGGCCGAATTTGCTCGGAAGGCGGAGCTAGACAGGAGTGACGACGATGATGATGATGATGAGTATGATGATGATGACTCTGTTGCGAGCAGCAGCACCGGGACCCGTACAACAGGCACCAGTTTGTCAACGTTGTCAGCACGGGCTGCAGACGGGGCCGAGGAGTCAAGTCGGGCCCGAATGACTTTGCTGCATTTCCACGACCTCCTCGTGTATTATTTGGCACCGTTGCTGTGAGACGGTAAGTAAGGGAGGAAGCAAGAATGCAATGAGGTGAGTGGGTTATCTTCTTTTGTCTTTTGTGGTCGAATTGTGGCGGGTGATGCGGCTTGTATGGAGGCACAACTCCGTGCGACATCTTTTTTGTGGCACCATCCTCTGCAGGTGTCTGGCTGCTTGAATTTTTTATTTATTTATTTTTCTTCTTTTTTATTCCGTGTTTTGTTTTTGTTTTACAGCACGTCTTTATTGTGTCTTTTTCTCAGTGTTTTGGCGGTGCTTGAAATGAATCGCGTGCAAAGTAGCTTCCGTGTGCCCGCCAGGGTTCTGAACTCCCTTGTCCATTTGCAGGACGGCCTCAACACCTTTATGGATCCCGACTGGCGTCAGATCCGCCACGTTGACGACTGGGCGCTCGCCATCACGATGGAAAGCGCCGAGCTGATTGACTCCTACCCGTGGAAGTGGTGGAAGAACGTGAAGGCACAGGCGGACATGCACAACGTGAGAATTGAGATTGCCGACATTCTGCACTTCTCGCTCTCTGGTGAGATGCAGAAGCGCACGCAGGACGGAAAAGGGGCGGGTGATGTCGCCCTGAAGTCGCTGAAAGAAATGGGCTTCTTTTGCCGTCCACCTGCACACGCAAAGTCAACGGAAGCTTCCGACCACAGGACGAATGGTGGCGATGACGATGGTGATGATGAGTTGTTGGAACTCATTTTTTTCCCGCTTACAGAAGTTGCCAGTGCTGTGGCGACATTTCGCAACATCATCCAGTTGGCCAGCATATATCGCTTTGACCTCATCACGAAGGGCCTACTGTTGGCGGCGCAGGACTTGGACTTTAACCTCGTTGGCTACTACGTGGCCAAATATACACTGAACCAAATCCGTCAGCTGAAGGGTTACAAGGAGGGCGCGTACGTGAAGGTCCGTGAGGGTGTTGAGGATAATGAGCTCCTGCACGAGTGTGTTCAATCCGTTTCAGTGGAAGATGTGCTCAACGAGGGGACGTACCTAAAGACATGGGAGAAAATTGCCTGCTCCGTATTCGATGCATTTGGTATGCCCGAGGAGGAAAGGCGGCACGCGTATGAGTGGTTGAAATCGGCAGCTTTGGAGGGGAAGCGGTAGAAACAAAGTCACATAGACCTTTGGAATACGGAGGGTACATACATTCACACAATTATGCACGGGGATGGCGCCCAAGTGATGGAGAGGGGCCCGTGCGATTTTTTTGCGTGGTCTGCGCGACAGCATTCCAACACGGAAGGAGGGATGGAACGTAGGAGGGCGATGGCTGTTCTCTCTCTCCTTTTTTTTTTTTACTCTCACACTTGGCTTTTATTTATTTATTTTTGTGTTGTTTTGTTACCGGGATAACACCAATAATTCCCCAAAAAAGAAAAAACAGGAAAAAAAAAACAGCTTCTTGTTGACGTCATAGAAGCCCATAGAAAACAAAAAAGCATTATTTACTCTTATTTCCTTTTCTGCTCATGTATGCGTTGATAAGTGGGATCAGTTCACTCCTTCCCTTCCATAAAACAAAAAACAAAAAAAAAAAACGAAAAAAGATTATTCGATGAAACTAAAATAAGGGCAAAATGCCCACACTGGTGGTGGTGGGGGCTCTCATGGGAGTCACGCACGTGTGCTCCACAAATGCATGCGGTCCCTTGTGCGTATTTAAACACGCACAGGTGGTATTGGAGTCAACAGAAGATTTTCCCTTCGTGATTCCCTTAATCCCTTCCTGAAATGTCTCATTGTAATCTATTGGGGTGGGGCTTTCTTTTCCTGTGTGACTGTGACGATGAATGGTGCCTTTATTTTATCTCCCGCGCGGTCACACGGTTCCTTTTTTTTTTTTTTGTGCGTGTGTTTCTGTCGCTAACGGCACTCATCGATCATTTTCTCCTCACCTCCTCCGTCTCGTTTCTGCGAATGGGTGGAACGCACTGCATGTTCTTCCGTGTCTTATTGGCTTCTCTTGTCGCTGTTGTTCTTGCCATTCTGGGGGGCCTTCGGCTCCAGACACAGACGAGCCAAGGAGAGCCAACCAGTCAAGGGGGAGAAAAATTAAGCGGAGACGTGTGAGAGACGCACAAAACGGCGATAAACCGCAAGAAACATCCATCAAAATGGGTCTGCTGTAGGCTACTGAAGGAGCATGGAGCCGTGTGAGGATTGTCATTGGTTAAATGTGGTGAGGGACATGATAACACCGGGAAGGAGAAGGACGGTTAAGTCCGCGATAAAACGACAGGAAAACCAAGACACAAAAAGAAGTTTTGCTTAAGACAGCAAAAAAAAAAAAAAAAATAACAGAAGGAAACGAAGGAAAAGAAGCCTTGAGAGGAATATGTGGAGATTACATGCGGAGAATATGCGATGGGTTTCTGTTGGGTGTGGGGTGGCCTCGTTTGATTGAACTTTTTTCTTTATTTCTCCCCTTTTTGCCTCTTTATTTTGCAACCCATACATAATGATTCTGCAATTATGTACACATCACACACATATATATAAAAAAAAAAGGCTTCTCTTTCAAACGAAGACAACGACGATGCCTGCCAAAACCGCCGTTTCGAAGGCTGCTGCGCCCAAAAAGGCCGCTGCACCCAAGAAGGCTGCTGCACCCCAAAAGGCTGCTGCGCCCAAGAAGACTGCTGCGCCCAAGAAGGCTGCTGCACCCCAAAAGGCTGCTGTCGCCAAGAAGGCCGTCAGGGAGGCCCCCCAAAAGGGCGTCAAGAAGGCCGCCAAGAAGGGCGCGCCGGCCGCTATGACGAAGGTGGTGAAAGTCACGAAGCGCAAGGCGTACACCCGCCCGCAGTTCCGTCGTCCGCACACGTACCGGAGGCCGTCGATCCCCAAGCCGAGCAACAACATGAGTGCGATTCCCAACAAGTGGGATGCGTTTCGTGTGATCCGCTACCCGCTGACCACCGACAAGGCGATGAAGAAGATCGAGGAGAACAATACGCTGACCTTCATTGTGGACTCGCACGCCAACAAAACGGAGATCAAGAAGGCCATGCGCAAGCTCTACCAGGTGAAGGCCGTGAAGGTGAACACCCTCATCCGACCGGACGGCCTTAAGAAGGCGTACATCCGCCTCTCCGCCTCCTACGACGCCCTCGAGACAGCCAACAAGATGGGTCTGCTGTAGGCTACTGAAGGAGCATGGAGCTGTTTGGGTGGAAGAGTATTTGTGCTTTGCTGCGCGCACATTCTTATTTGCCCCCAAAATGGTCGACGATGAAAGGAAAGTCAACTAAAAGGAGCTTTTTTTTTTTTTTCTTCACTGTCTTTTGAAATTTGTTTTTAAAAAATCAACAACAACAACAACAACAAGAGAAGCTTTGAAAATTACTGTTGTTTTCCTCTTGTGCTGCAGGCGCGGGGTTCTGCGATGTCGCGTGATCCTTCCAATCGTACCCCCTTTTCCCCCTTTTTTTTTGTCTTTTTTTCCAACATTTGTTTCATTTGGAACTGCGGCGCAGCTGCTGAGCGCATACAAAAAAGGGAAGGGGTGGGTGCTGTATTGTTTGACAAGGACGAGGGGCAATTAACCCTTTGGCAGAGGATTGGTGTATACACACGCATTTACCGTTAGAAGTTTTTTTCTTAGGGCTTACTTTACTCTTTTTTATTTATTTATTTCAGATATTATATTTAGGCGAATCCACCCTTTTGTGTTTTTTTTTGGTTCCTGTTTTCTCTTTCTCCCTGCCGTGCACTCTGTGAGTGTGTGTGTGTGTGTGTGTGTCTGTGCCTGCACCTGTGCGGGTGTTTGTAGGACGGCCGCAAGCACCACCAGCGGGAGGGGGAAGGGGGCGGTGGGGAGGAGGACTGACACATCTTAGCAAGGCGGAGTTGAGGACGCCAGCAGGCTTCGAGGCATAGCGAAAAAAGGTGTTGTGGGACTCGACTGCGTGGGTCGAAAAAGACAAGAGAAAATAGGCACAAATCAAGAACAACAAACACGCACGCACACTACGCAACCATATTATCTCCGTAAA